TCTCTCAAAGCGCCCGTTAACTCCTTCAAATTCTAATTTGGCCCATTGGCCTACTTGAGGCAGCAACTAACTCAGCTAAATCATTCAGCTAAATAACTCAGCTGACTCACAAAATTGAAATTAATGATTTCCTTCTCTCAGTCGCTCGCGACACCTCCGCCTGGACAAATATACGTGGTTGTCCAGCGTCGACAAGCCATTACCTGCACGAAAACACGTGCAAAATTAACTTTCTCACAACGTGCTGATTGTGAAGTATTTTTGTAATGACGAGATCGTCTTCTTTAATCGTAGTGATTCTTTTTTCAACCTTTCGCCGACAACATTGGAATTTTCATTCTTTCGTCAACAAGAGAGGTCTTCGAGAAACAGGGCAAACTTAATATATTCCGAATTATATAAGAATTTAAAACATTTTTTGCTTATAAGAATTATAGTACGAGTGTGATAATCATAACATATCTTAATGACTAAGTTAAGATATGTCCATCTTACGGTTATCATAACCAAATGTAATAATCGGATTCGGTGAAAATTATTATTATTTTCGGTTGTGACAACCGTAGCATTTTTTCCGTGTGTGTTACACTTGTCAAAACTTTGACAACGACCATTTTTACCATTGTAGAAGTCAGATTGTATTTTACTTATTTTTTTATAGATTCGAATTGATTTGCTAAAATTATTATTCTCAAAATATCAATGGTGCCTTGAAAGGCTTGAATTGCCTGCAGAGGATTAAGAAATCCACGTTAATGACAAACGCAGACGAATAATTCTCAGACATAAATGAATAATTGACTTATTTTTACACTACCCCTTGAACAAAGTAATAAAATTGAAAGTCAGGAAGCTTACGACGGGAAATTAACAGATGTGTAGACCGGAAATGACTGTCCGTACGTTACCGTTAGAAACGGCCGAGTTCGCGAAAACGATTTTGTTAAAGGAAATTAGTGTGCCGCCAAGAGAAATTATGGCTCGCACGGCGGCAATGTCGGAATCCGACATTCCGATTCGATGTCCGATACGAGAGTAACTTTGTCACCCGCGTGCGGTTACCGAAGTTGAAAACTCATGTCACTCGATTAGCCGGGAATTTCCAGCATAAGACGCCATCATAATTCGGAGAGGATCGATCAGTTTAATTAGATACGTATGGGTATCGTGGACGTAGTTATCGGACATTAACGAATGCTAACTTGATACGCTCTCCGATAATGAACATCAAACCCGTATGCATATCGAACTAATGTCAATAAATTTCGTTTTGATTATGGATGCGAACGGAATAAATTCAGACATTCAAGTAGAATCGGATGCTAAAATCTGCGGTGAAGGCGCGAATCGACGCGGACGAAGATTAATGCAAAAATCAGTGATAAATTTCACACGACTGCGATCATCGCGATTCCAGACTGTTGTTCCCGAGGCGCGAACAATCAGCGAGGGTTTTTACTAGCGTTGTCGTTTTGCATCATCTTAAATGGACGCGGGAAGAATAAAACAAGCCTACAGGCGCAATCTCCTGGGATTCAACGACTCTTCCACTCTCCATCATCTGGATCAGGCGGTCTTAAATGCGTCTCGCCTCGACAAATATTACTCGTGAATGTGCAAGAGATGTCATTACACTGAGATGGAAAATCATAGGAAATGTGACAGATGGAAGGGATAATATAGAAACATTATTTTATTGATAAACAAAGATATATACGAAAATAAGATATTAACTTTTTGGTTTATATGTTTTACTTTATATACAACTGTTCTCCGAAAATCGTGGTACGAGAAATCGAGAAGGAGATGATTTCTCGGGTAAAAGTGAGTAGAAAGAAATTTTTTTCATATTGAGAAAAATCTATTTTTGAGAAAAAATCGAGTTTGAGTATCGTCTTTAATAAAAATTATCTCCTTAATACAGATCCAGAACAAAATGATGAATTTGACCATATTACTCGTTTATGCGTCTTTAACTCGCTCAACGAGAATTTGTCTGCATTACGAAGGGCAGTATCTCCAACCATCTTTTAATTAATGAAGTAAATAACATTATTGAAATTTATCAC